TCCTTCCCTCCCTCCCTTTATCCTTCTTTGGTAGGTCAAGCAATTTTGGGTTGTATGCCAGGCACTGTGAAAGTTGCTATGCTGTGGAGAATTGGGATTCTGTTATATTCCTCTGAAGAATGTTGAGGTTTTTGCTTTTGCAGGGAATTAACTTGATCAGACTCAGTTTGTAAGTTCACTGTTGCTTGCTCTGGGCAGTGGTTCAAATTTTAGTTCAATTCTTTTTCCTTTTTGTCAGCTGGCATGGACAGGGATCCACTGTGTTATCAGCACTGAGCTCTGACCAACTGAGCTAATCGGCCAATTCCTCAGTTCAATTCTTTAAGCTTTTGCTGCCCTGTCTTTTCTGCTCCTGCATGCTTTGGGGTAAGCCAGAGATCCATGTGAAGTTCACATTCAAAAGCAGAGAATTTCCATCCCCAGCTCTCTTCCTCTGGGACTTCCCACTCCCCGGGGACCTGGGGTGGTGGTGGGGAGTGGTGTCTAATAGACGGTGGGTTCTGATAAAAACTGGATCTGTCCCTGATGTGTTATTCTACAATTGTGGCTTGCCCTTGGGGCAATGGGGTGGGGAGAGTGGGGGAAAGAGACAGAAACTCACTTTTGAGCCAATGCTTCTCTAAGTTGCTTTCGTTCACTCTCTAGATCACCAGGTAGTTTTTTAGGGTTTATAAGGTTATCTGCAGGAGGGTTAGTCTGTGGGGGCTTAAACCACTAAACTCCAGGTGGAGCCAATTCCTTTTCATTTTTGTTCAGTGTGCACCAGTCTGAAGTTTTCAGTTCTCTATTTTAAGGTTCTGTCCTTTAGGTCTCTTGTAGTGCTGCTAGATTTTCTTAGGAATCTTATTCATTCAGGTGACACTCTCACGATGCAGTTTTCACTGTCTTGGGAGTTCCATACCCATATTTCAAGCCATCTTTTTTGCATATTCACATAAAACCTTTACTCTAGAATCAGTCTCTCCTCTGGCTCACCTGCTTTGGTTACTGTACAGTATTTGTTCAGCAAACCAGGCTCAGAATTACTAAGAGTTTACCCATATTTCAAGCCATCTTTTTTGCATATTCACATAAAACCTTTACTCTAGAATCAGTCCCTCCTCTGGCTCACCTGCTTTGGTTACTGTACAGTATTTGTTCAGCAAACCAGGCTCAGAATTACTAAGAGTCGAGAATATTTATGTTAACCCCAATTTCTCCACTGTGAGCACAGAACCAAACATAACAGGGATGCTGCTCGTTATTTACTGACCCATTGACAATACCTAACTTTGAGGACCATCACGAAAAAACCATCAAAAGGCTTAGGAATGTGACCTCCTTTCTTTACTTCTTCCCCTACATTGAGTCTTCATAGTGATAATTAGTATGTGATTATCATAGCTTTGTTGCTATACAGCCTTAGTTACTCATTTTATTCATTGCAAAGTGTTGAGCAGCCAAGCTATGCCCTTAGGCACAGTTCTAGGTGCTGGAATTGAGTGGCAGATGAGACACAACTGGTCCCTGTTTTGGAGCTTGCATTCTGGTGGAGGTTATGCTAAAAGATCATTAAACAAGCACATTTCACAGGGATGTGTTATGAAGGCAATAAACGAGAGAATGGGCACGCGATGCCTGGGGACAAAGAGTGTAACCTTAGGTAGGGTGGTGCAGGAAGACCACCCTACCTAAGGAAGACCACTCTTAGGAGTGATGTTTGAGCCAAGATCAAAATGATGAAAAGAAGCCAATTCCCATCAGAAGAAACTGCAAGTGCAAAGGCCAGTATGTCTGGAATTGTTAGGAAATGTTGCATGAGATGAGGCTTGAGAGTCAGAGATGGGGCACAGCGAGTGGAGCCTGGAGAGTCATAGTAATGAGGACTTTATTCTAAGTGGTGCAAAGCCCCTGGAATGAAGACATTTACTTTTTAAAGACAACTGTCAGAACAGATGTTGAAGGGTAACTTGTGATTATTCACATTCAATCAACTTAATTTACACAGACAAAACCTAAGAAAAAAATCCAATTTGCATATATTTATGTATGTGTGTGTGGTCACTGATGTTTAAAAAAAAGGAAATAAAAATCTATTGGAGAAGAGAATTTAGTTAGTAAAATCTTTTCTAGAAAAATGCTAGAAGACATTATTATTCCAGGAAAAGAACCCTCCATTATATATAATGTATATATAAACATACATATATACATATAGACATTAAAAAATACCTAAGAGCTCTCCAATGGCATAAAACAGTATTTTATGAATTTATATATATAAAAAAACCAGTATTACCTGTTAAGTACTATCTCTTGCATGTGCAGCCAAAACTGCTAAGGTTATCAGAATAAGAAACCCTTGGTGTCTATTACAGAGAGCTTTCAACGGAACTTGCCTTGACAATTTATTCCTGTCTTTTTTTCTCCAGCTCGACACAATATTGCTACTCAACTTTGTGACTGCACGAAGCTGTTTTGGGCACTGCACAGGGAATAAGTGTTAAGAGTTCAAGTAAATGCAAATGATGTTTTTGCTGCCTTTTCTCAAAAGATTTTGCATGAGAATATAAACTATAATATTAAACTGTATTCTATGTATGTATAGTTTCTACAGTTATCTACATCTCAGTCGCTTTTACAAGTAAAGTCCTTTCTAGTATTATTCAGACTTAACACTAGTGTTTGTTTTGTACCTCTGTCAGCAACCAACAATCTCATAATGCCAAAAATCACGATATGTAAAATGTTTTTTACTAGCTCCGTAAAATTTACTAGATTTTTCTGTCCTGCTCTCCCTAACCTTAACAGAAACATGACTGAAGATTTGAGATAAACTTTGCTTATTGTAAAAAACGCAGTTAGATGATCACCTCTCCATCCTCATTCTCAAATGTACTCCTTTGAGTCTTGACAATCTAATTTGAGATCATTTTAAATAACCTTCCTTCCCCCTTTAGCAACCCCTTATTTAATATTTTCCTATTTAAAGTGATTAGTTGGAAGGGGGAGCTTTAGGTGACACCCTAGCCTTGAGAGAGCTGAGTTTGGGAACTATAAACATGGAGTGAAGCACCCTCTGATAGAGCATTTACTGCTGTGGAGAGAGCTATGTCCTGTGATCCATTGTGGTTCAGTTCAGTTTCTAAATATCCTCTAGTGAAAATTCTCTGGAACAATCTGCTCTTTGGACAGGCTTCGCCACCCCAAACCTGGTGCAATCAGGGAAGGGACTTCAGGGCCTTGCCCAGACTTTGCAAACCCAGGGTGAACCCCCAGGGCCTCCAGCTGACAACGGGTTCTTGCCCAAGAAAGGCGACCAAAGGTGCTGAGTACTGTAATGCGTTGCTACAGGCTGAGCTGGTACTAAGCTCTCACCTGTGGAAGACATTTTCCAAGAGAGAGAGGGTAGCGCTAAGGAACAATGGGCTCGGGGGTTGAACTGCCTGCATCCCAGTCCTTCCCTCACCACTCACTGATGAACGGAGTGACCCTGGCCATGTGACCCCACTTTTCTTAGCCAAAAATATATTTAAAACCCATAATAAACACTCAGAACCACAGCACTTATTATTTTTTTTTTTTTCCCTTTTTGTCTTTTTCTTTTCTTAGCCAAAAATATATTTAAAACCCATAATAAACACTCAGAACCACAGCACTTATTTTTTTTTTTTTTCCCCTTTTTGTCTTTTTTTTTCTCGTGTCCGGCAACGGACCGCAACCCTCAGTGTCACGCCCGTACCGGACCGGGACCGGCAATGGGATCGCAACCCTCGGTGCTGCGCCCGCCCCTTGCTCAGCCAGTGAGCGGGAACCGGTCTGTATGTGGGATCCGAACCCTCGGCGGGAGCGCCGCCGCGCTCCCAAGCGGCGCACTGTAGCAGTGCGCCACCAGGCCGGCCCAGAACCACAGCACTTATAATCATGATGTCTTTTATTGTTTTCACAGTATAAGGCACTTCTTTTTTCTTTTAATAGTTTTCATTTTTTAAAGAAAAAGTAATCCTAAGTGAATGCACTAGTAATGATCTTTTATCAGAATGACACATGCTCGGGCCGGCCCGGTGGCGCACTGGATAGTGCGCCGCTTGGGAAGCACGGCGGCGCTCCCGCCCGAGGGTTCAGATCCCACGTACAGACCGGTTCCCGCTCACTGGCTGAGTCGAGGCGCGGGAGCAACCCCGAGGGTTGCAATCCCGTTGCCGGTCCCCGGTCCGGTACGGGGGCAACACTGAGGGTTGCGATCCGTTGCCGGACACGGAAAAACACAAAAGACAAAAAAAAAAAAGAATGACACATGCTCATCCACAGAAACATTTCCTAACTTCCTCCTGAACCTCTTGCCATTGTGGAATACTGCTGTTTGGTTACTGAAAAAACGGTGAGATTTTCAAATTTATATGATTCCCTTTCCTTAGCATATTGTTGGGGTGTTTTGAATCAATTCTTTTACTCACATTTTTGGGCAAGGAGATTTAATAAGTTTTATTTCCATTATTTTTAATTATGTTCATATGATTCCCCAAACCCGAGTGCCACAAGTCAGAGCATTTTGCATGTGTAACACGACAAAGAGGGGTCCTTCAGTCCAGCGTGATTAAACTCTTCCCATTTCCCCAGGAGAAGCCCTCATCGTGGACCAGAAGCCCTCCGTGTTCATGATCCAAGTCTTAGCACATCCTGAGTCTCAAATGAGCAGCTTATTAGCTATGCCCCCTACTGACCTTTTCTTCTAGACCTCTTTTACCCACACCTGTTGTCAAGAAAAATGAATATAAAACAAGGACGCAGCAAAACACTAAAAAGAACTGCATTCTGGTTTCAAAAAATTTGAATTTTCTTGTGTCACATAACAATGAGCTATGGTGTGTCACCAGTCTGCAGTATAATTAACTTCTCTTCTTTTGTTCCTTATGAATTTACATATCCAATTATCTTTCTATTTAATTTCTCACGATTTTGCTACGGTGACTAAAACTTTTTAACAAAAAAGTCTTTTAATTTAATGGAGACTTTGCATTTCATGTTTATGCGTTTTAGGATTACAGAACACTACTGCCTAACACTGTTGCATTTCCCTGGCAGGATGTGGAGTACCCAGGTTCCCTGTCCACCAGGACAACGGTTGAAAGACTATGTGGATTCAATTACACAGTGATTAGGAGCTGCTGAGAAGACACAGCAAAGTAGATGACACAAAAACAATGCCAATTGTAAATAACCCACGCTATTTTGTTAAAAAATACTGCACTGGTGCATGTAATCAAAGCCGATGCCAATTCAGATATTATGGCTGAAGACACTGTTTTAGCCCCAGCAGAATTTCTGCTTTCTTTTCAGAACTCTGCATCCGTTCCCATTCTTTCTGTCGAAGTAGATGCAGTTAAGAGTCTCAGAAATTGAGGGGCATTCTGATCCCACGAGAACACCCATCTGCAGGGCTACTGCAGCGCCAGAATGTGAAAGACGACCAACTCAGAATGTGCTGCCAAGAGAGTGAATGCACAGGCAGTATTTTAGGGCCTCAGGTCTAGTCTCTTGGATGAGATTCTCATAAATGGCCAGGTGATGTGCAAAGGTGACTTTTCTAGGCACCAGGAGGGCAAAAAAAAAAGGAAGTCTGACTGGTATGAACTGTGTTCTGTTCCTATCATCAGCAGTAATAGAAATGTCAGAATTTAACAGCAAATGTTGGCTACTTGGATCCTTGTTACAATAAGTCTGTGTGGCTCTGGTAATGGGAGGGAGAGCTATTTGTTTTGTTAGGAAGGAACAGAAATGACCTTTGTTTTGCTTTGCATTTTGGGAGTCATGACCACAATTTAATATAATCAGATGCAGTTTGTTCAAGGAATTATCAAAGCTCACACTTGGATATCAAGTTGGGATGAAGGTCGATAGGTGGACATGGATCACGCACTACCAGAAAACAATCTAATTCAACAGCAGCACTGAGAAACACTGCATTAGGAGAATTTATTCAAACATCCATGCAGAGAGAGTCAAATACCATTTTTTAAAAAAATTATTTCCACGTTCCCTCTCTCCTTTTTTAAAGGGAAGAAGTTCTATTTTGAATATCATTTAGGATAGGACCCAGCTCTCTGATTTATGCAAAAGGACATAAATTCACAAACCTGCTGGGTCTGCTTTTACATTTCCACAAGGGGCTGTGGTGCAGCTGCTGTTTCTGGCAAAATAAAAAATAGTGGAAGTGAAAAGAGCATAGATTATAAAAGGCAATCATTTTTTCTTCATCAAATCCAGTAGCTTGTCTTCTATTCCTTTTTCACTCAGCTCATCTAAACTGTAGTATCGATGCACAATTTTCTCTGCAGTGACCACCACCACTCGGAGTCCATGGGTGTCTTTGCCCAACTGGCACCCGATGGCAGACGACACCACCATGTCGAGGTTCTGGTAGGTGCCCCCAGCATTCCTGTGGTAGTGGCCTGAGAACACAGCTTTGATACCTGCAGGGAAGGGAAAGAGACATTAGGGGACCGAGGATTTCCATTTAGGTGACCAGGGGGCTCCAATGTCTTATTCATAATATTATTCTGTGTATAATAAAAGAGAAGGCAACTTATGTGACATCCAAAATATTTTCAAGCATAATTCATATAACAATATATTATTAACATGTTTGTCATAACTAGTACAAGAAAATTCTAGGGAACAACATAAGAGAAGGGAGGTGTTATGGGTTGAATGTGTCTCCCAAACGTTCTTATATTGGAAACTGCACGCCCACTGTAGCAGTGAGAAGTCCTATTATGGTCATTGAAAGGTGGGGCCTCTAAGAGGTGATGAAACTGTGAGGACTGTACCCTCTTGAACTGTTGATCCCTGGATGGTTTAATGGTCGTCATGAGTGTGGTTCTGATGGCTTTATAAGGAGAGCGAGTGAGCAGGTCAGCTCTCTCTTGCTCAGCCATTTGCCACGTGACACACTGGTTGTCACTGTAGAGTCACCACCATAGAGGAAGGCCCTCACCAGATGTGTTCCGTGGACTCTGCACTTCCCAGCCTCCAGAATTGTGAGCAATAGATTTTATTTCTTTATAAATTACCCAGTTTTAGGCGTTCTGTTATAAGTAACAGAAAATGGACTAATAAAAAAGATAAAGTGAATGACTTTGGGAAGAGATAAAGGAGACTGAAGAAAACATTTCGAGGCCAAGATAAACGTCCATAGGATGGAAGTTGTATGTCTATTGAAAATAATGTTTATGGGGTTCTCATCAAGACAGCAGATAATGTTCAACATATGGTGTATCTCTTCTGCTCTAAACTTATACCCATAATAGAAAAAAATGTAAAAAATTAGACCAAAGGATATAGGTAGACTTAAAAACAAAATAAATAGCTCTATGGGCCAAAAACAAAATAGAAAGACAAAGTAATGAATGGGATTAAAAGGTTGCCAGGAATTAAGGTTTTAGAAAATCATAGAGACTGAGAATATTTTCTGTGAGATGAGGAAATAAAGCCTGGCCCGTTTGAAAAAGGGGCCAGCATGGGGTTCTCTGGTTTATGGAAGGAGATAAGAAAACTGCTGCTGCCAGGGGCTGGGGCAGTGTTGTGCAGGCAAATGTTTAAGTTATTAAAAAAAAAAAAAAGGCCTAATTTGTAATGTTTACTAATATCCATGGTGTAAATATTCCCATCATGGCCAATTTCAAGTGACCAATATGATATCATTGAACCGGCTGGCCGTGGGAAGAGACGCCCAGTAGTTCACTGTTATATAGTATTTCCACCACACAGACACAAAAGCTGTAAACAACCTTAAGAGCACAGGTAACAGTAACATGTAACAAAAGATTTAGAAAGTGATACGTTTTGAGTATTTATTACCTGTTATAATACAGTCACGTGCCACATAACGACATTTCAGTCAATGATGGACCTTATATATGATGCGTAACAGTAACATGTAACAAAAGATTTAGAAAGTGATACGTTTTGAGTATTTATTACCTGTTTGTTATAATACAGTCACGTGCCACATAACGACATTTCAGTCAATGATGGACCTTATATATGATGCTGGCCCCAAAAGATTATAATGGCTATACCATATAGCTAAGTGTGTAGGCTGTACCATCTAGGTTAGTGTAAGCATGCTCTATGATGTTCACACAATGATGAAACTGCCTAATATATCCCCACTGTTAATTGACACATGGCTGTAATTTATTTAATGGTAAGTTCATATACTTTAATTTTTAATAATGGCCATTTAACAACCAGATCGCAACATTCCTTAAGATTTAATAATCGGTTCTAAAGAGCTGGTAGGAACTGTCTCCAGCACACCACTGGGCTGGGGCTTATAGCAACCTGAGGGCTCTGGGAAGGAAGGACAGACACAGGCTCAAGTCTACAAACTGAAACACATTTTCCCAATATTAATGTGGGGCCCCAAACTACCATTATAAGGCCTGGTCCTGAGTGGGGGAGGTGGTAGAAGTAACCAAATCCAATAGACAGGGACAGTTAATCAAGAGAGAAAGCGTGAGGGAAAAACAAAACAAAAAATACCTCTTACTCAAATGGGATCTGCAATTAAAAATTCTACCACAAAGAAATTCTACTTATGAAGAAATCTCATGCTAAGTATAACGGTCTATAAACTATTCAGTCAGGAACATGAATTTGATCCAGATAATTGTATAAAACTGACAAATATTTAAAACAAATATGTTTATGATATCAAAGTCTTTAATAAAGGACCAATATCCATTAAAAAAAAAAGATTATGAAACAAAACAGGCACAAGTCGAATGAGAATGGTGGGTAATGAAAGTTTGGAAATGGTGGACATAAAAGACATACCCATTGAAATTTCAAATAAAAACAACCCTCAATAAATGAGATAAATTCTAGACTGGACACTAATCAAAGAGGAAATTAGTGAATTTAAAGGTGGAATCAAATCTTCACTAAAAGAATTATTATGAGATACATTTCAGTAAATGAAGGATTGAAATATTAAAAATTAATGATGAGCAAACACTGATATTTTAGTAAACTGAAATCAACTGATTTTTTTTTATATTTAACAAAACCCTTTTTTCTTAATGTTAAAAGCGAAACTAAAACTCAAACAAAAATGTCCAGATAGGAAGTTTAATGGACAATTAAAACATATAAAAGTTATCTGTCAGATTGGAAGGAAGATGATAATACTGAATAACTTGATACTTTACTAGAAAATATGTAAAATTATCATGTTTCATAAAAATGTTTGGGCATAAGCAAACTAAAATAAAAATAGAGGAATTGGGCTTAATCAAAATTAAAAACTTTTGTGCTTCAAAAAACACTATCCACAAAATGAAAAGACAACCCATGGAATGCAAAAAAATATTTGCAAATCATATATCTGATAAGGGCCTAATATCCAGAAAATATGAAGAAGTCTTACAACTCAGCAATAAAAAAGAAAACCCACTTAACAAATGGGGAAATGATTTGAACACACATTTCTCCAAAGAACATACACAGACGGCCAATAAGCACATAAAAAGATGCTCAACATCATTAATCACTAGGGAAATACAAGTCAACACCACTTCACACCCACTAGGACGTCTATAATAAAAAAGATGAAAAGTAACAAGTGTTCACAGGGATTTAGAAAAATTAGAACCTGGTGGGAATGTACAGCCGTACAGCTTTTTTGGAAAACACTGTGGCAGCTCCTCAAAATATTAATCATAGTTGCCACAATCCATCAATTTCACTCCCAGGTATATACCCAAGAGAAATGAAAACATACATCTGTACAAAAGCTTGTATGTGAATGTTTATTGAAGCACTTCATAATAGCCTAAAAAAGTGGAAACAACCTAAATAAATGTCCATCAACTGATGACAGGTAAACAAAATGTGGTCTATCCATATGATGGTGTAGTATTCAGCCATAAAAAGGAATGAAGTACTGTTACATGCTACAATGCAGATAAACCTCCAAAGTATTATGCTAAGTGCAAGATGCCAGACAAAAAAGGCCACATAGGTATAATTCCATTTATATGAAATGTCCCAAATAGGCAAATCCACAGATAAAGAAAGATTAGTGGTTGCCAGGGGCTGGGGGAAAAGAGGAATGGGGGTGACTGGTAATGAATACGGGGTTTCTTTGTGGAATGATAAAAATGGTCTGCAATTAGATACTGGTCATGGTTGCAAGACCTTGTGAATATATTAAAACCAATGAATGTTATGCTTTAAAAGGATGAATTTTATGGTATATGAATTATAGCTTAATAAAAAAATGCAAAAAAAAATTTATGGGAAAGGGAGAAAGGTAAAATGATCCATGTGGTAATGGATTAGAGTTGGAGATATCAGTATGAACTCATGTTGAGCTTAACATGGACGCAGGTGGTTGCACATAGAAATATTTATGGATGTGTATATACACAGGCTAGAAGTACACAGACACACACTGCCTCGCTCTGTCAGCCGACAGCACCTAGATGCAGGGGCACGGACAGCAATGAGCCCACTTAGCACTCAGATCTTGGTTCCTAATAACCATTCTCTCATAAAAGGAACGATGGATCTTTGGAGAAATGGCTGACTGCAGGCCTGGGGCAAGAAATATACAAGATGAACATCGGGCCAGAAAGTAAGAAAGTGAACAAAAAGAAAAAAAACTCACAATGATGCAGTATGTCAAAGGGACACAGGACAAGTGAAAGAGTCCCCAAAGGCCAAAGCTTAGCAATTTCAGCAACAAAATAAACTAGTATTGAATTATAATGCAAAGTATAAAAAAAAATGCACGAGTCCATACTGATACAGATGAATGATTAAATCAATACATGGGTGGTGGCGGGGGTGGGGGGATGACGACGACAAATCTCCCATACGGAATAACAAAGAATTTATGCAGATACTCCACGCTCTTGGAAGTAGACCATAACTCCTCCCCCCTTGGGTGTGGGCTGTGATTTCTGACTTCCTTTCAAAGAGTACAGTGTAAAAAAGAGGTTAAAAAAGAAAAAAGGATAACAGTGGAGAAACTGGACAAGCATCAACAGTGGTAAGTCATGCTGATAGTAGTACGTACTCCTGATATAATTTTGATGCAAATGGCATCTCACCTCAGTGGTCTTCCTCCCTAAAACCCCTCACTCCAGTCTGGTCACGTGAAAAACAGACAAATTCCAGTAGAGAGACATCCTATAAAATACCCGACCAGGCAGTACTCCTCAAGAGTGTCAAGGTCATCGAAAACAAGGAATGTCTGAGAAACTGTCACAGCCAAGAGGTGCCTAAGGAGATAAGATGACTCAAGTAAATTATCCCTATTTTTTAAAATACACTTTTAATTTTAGAACAACTTTATATTTACAGAAAAATTACAAAGATAATACAGAAAATTCCCATATACCCCACACCCAGGTTCCTACATTTGTTAACATCTTACATTAGGATGGTACAGTTGTTACAATCA